TTATTTCTTTATTTATTTATTTTTCCATTAGTTTCTTTTGTTCAGTTGGAAGGCGTTCCACTGACAAGTCATTGGGTGGGGTATCTGAGCTTGTGATTTTATTGGCAAGGTTTTTTTCCTATAGTGGAGAAGAAATTATTGAGTCTGTTTGCTGTTTCAGTTGGTGGGAGTTGGGGTTCATCTGGTTTTTTTAATTCAATTTTGCTATTTCGTGATATCTTTTTTGTTCCTAGAATTTCTGATAGGGTTTTCCAGGTCTTTTTTATATCACCTCATAAGTTGGATAATCTGTTCTCATAATACAGTTTTTTAGCCCTTCTTATCAGACTGGTTAGGATTGACGAGCAACGTTTTGTTTGGTCTCTGGTTATGTGACCCATTCTGTACTGTTTTTCATGTAGGTGCTTTGTATTTATGGATTTGAGGATGCTGGGTGTTAGCCAGGGACTGTTCAGTTCTTAGCTGTCATCTGTGTAGTTTTTTTTTTGGCAGTGCTTGTTATAGAGGTATTGGGTCTTTTTTTAGAAAATTATTAATACATTCGTCAATATCTGTATAGATTTCTAGCTCAGTGTGCCAGTTAATGTTTGTCACTGCTGCTGTGAAGTTATTAATGGCTGCCTCATTGTGACATCTGAAAGTAACTTTAGTAGTGTCTTGGGGTAATTTGCCAAGATTTGTGATGAGGAAGGTAGGGTAGTGATCTGTGGTATTATCTGTGATTATGCCTGATTTTAAAGGGGATATAGTGTTGGTCCAGATGTGGTCTAGTAGGGAAACACTAGTGTCTGTAACTCTTGTAGGTTTTGTTACTGCTGGTAGCAACATGCAGTTACTCATAGTGTTTGTGAATTCAGTAACGTGTGGGTTTCGGCTGTACTAGTATGGCTTACACACCAGTGTCCATGACATACTAGTACGCCTAAATTCTGGCGCCCTCAATCTAGTGAGAGAAAGCTGGTAGGCCTACATATGAAAGAATGGGTCTATGTACAATTTGCGCAGATATAAAAAAATCGTTGCAGCACACAGTGGTAATGAGAAAAAAAAAACTTGACCATGTTTTTTGATTAAAACAGGACTTTGGGCCGTTTTTTCGTAGGTATTTATGTTGATTATTAGTTTCCTGGTCCTCATTTTATAGAATGGAAGACTTTTAAAGAAATGGGGTTTGATTTTGACTGGTTTTACAATGATAAGTCCTTGAAATTGAGCTAAATTTAGCAGAAATATTCATGGTGTAGCGACAGAAAGGATTTGGAGAGTCGGGCCCATTGGGGAGTGGGCGTGTCTTCTGGAAGGTTCCCTCAGTTACTGGTTGGTAGGCCGAAATTGGCTCTGCTTCACCGTCTTTCTTTTCTTTTTGTGCTTTGTTGTTCATTGTCTTCTCCTTCAGCGGTGTTTGTGGCCCATTTATGGGGGTTCGACTGAGATTCGTTCGCCCACATAGGAGGGACCCCCCTCCTTCTCACTCAGTGAACCTGTTTCACTAACCCCCGGGACCAAGATAGGCTAGTGTGCCCCCTACTGGGAATAAACAAACGGGCCCTGAGGTTACGACAGTGCCAGGCCCCTGTCTAGCCCAAAACGCCAACCCACCACTTGTCCAGACTATGCTCCTTCTCCTCATATTACTCCAGATGTGATGGTGGTTCTTGTGCGTCCTAAGGATGGTGGTACGCCCTTCACCAAGCCACGGGACATCACCAATGCCATCAGTGGATCTCCTTTCGGCAAGGCTTGCATAGATGGGGGCGTTCAACAACTCGGAAGGGGTGCAGCCCTAAGGCTCCGGCTCCATCGTAAGTCTTTTCTGGCTAGAAATTTGCCATTAAATGCCATTCATGTTCTGGGTAGGTGGAATGTTGTTTGCTGGGAGGTCCGCTCCTCGATCCTCACCGCTGGCTGTTGTTATGGCAGAATTGGACCAATTTCTACATCCCTCTCAGATAGGGAGATCCACTCTGAATTGGTTCACAGTGGGGGTGACGACTTAGGTTTGCAGGAGGTTTGAAGCCTCTCGAAAATCGTCCTACCCCATCTCGTATGGTTCGTGTATGTTTCTTGGGTGCCCTCCCGAAATTTGTGACTTTTGGCAATCTAAGATTTCCTGTTCTTCCTTATACTTTTCCTCTACTCCGGTGTCGGAAATGTTTCCTTTTTTGGGCATGGAGAGTTGTCTTGCTGTGGTAAGGTAAGATGTGCGAACTGCAGCGGGTTTCACCCAGTAGTTAAAGACCACATCACCTGTACCCGCCCGGCTTCATGCTACTTCTGTAAGGGGAACCACAAGGTTACCCCCGGGCTTGCCCGGCATATTCGCCAGGCTTCTTGATCTGGCAAACTCAGCCAGGGGCCCCGTCTTGTACGCTCGATGAATGTAACTCCTGCTTGCGGGCCGTAAAGCCAGTCACAGTCCGTCAGCCCCTGCCTCCTTCCCTCCCAGTGCCCCCCCACTAAGGGAGTCTCCCCCAAAAACCAACACGGCCAAAGGGGATCTGTACTCCGCAGCTGTGAGGGCAAATATCCCTGTTACAAATCGGTTTGGGGCTCTTGCGGACCTCTCTTTACCTTTAGAGGATTCCCCACCCCTTGGGCAACATCAACTCAGGGTGTCCTCGGACCCGGCTTCCATTGCGGAAATTATTGCACATGCCCCCCCTCGTGCACAACGTCCTCCCATCGAGGTGGTACAGTTCCCAAATCGACTCGTTCAGAACCCCACCCAATTCAGATGGACATCATACCCGACCCGGAGCCTCCCGTCTCGCAGCCGACTCCCCTCCCCAATTCTCCTCAACCCCAGCCTCGGCCTGTTTCCACTCCAGGACCCTTCATGTCTGAAGGTCCCGCTTTCTCACTCTTGCCTGCCTGGGCTTTATTCCTTCATCCTATCCTCCTCCTGGTGGAGGAGGTGCTACATTCTTACCTCCAGGGCACCTCTTTTGTGACTGCATGTCTCTCGGTTCTCTCTCGCCTTATTGGGCTGCTTAGTTCACACCCCTCTGTTTTTCTTCTTTGGAACGTACGTTCTGTACTGGGGAAGCTTCCAGACCTTCAGAGGTATCTGGCTGAGGTACAGCCACTGGTGGTGGGTCTCTGAGACATGGTTATGCCCTTGACATTCTTTTCAGATGCCTGGTTTCACTGTTTACCGTAGGGATCGCCTTGAAGGGAGCGGAGGTGGCCTAGCCCTTCTTGTATGCAACCGGCTCCAGAGTACAACCCTCTCCCTCCAAGCCTATGAGAGTGGAGTGTTGGAAACTCTGGCTGTGAGAGTTGCCTTGAGCACTCAGTGGTGCAACATACTCCTGATCTATAATCCGGGCAGGTCGGTTACACAAAGTGAATTTACTTATTACTTTGGACAACTCCGTGGTTCTACGCTTGTGATGGGAGACTTTAATGCAAGGCACCAGTTCTGGGAGCCATCTATTTCTTTGGGATCGGTGAATCCCACAGGTAGGGCCCTGTTCCAAACCCTCCTTGCATCTCACCTTTCGTTGCTCACACCACCAGGTTTGGAGACTAGAGTGGATCCTTATACTGGGCGAGTTTCTACCCTAGACCTCATCCTTGGGTGTGGATATTTTACTACAGCTACTGTTACTGTAGGCCTCTTCATGGGGAGTGACCATCTTCCAGTACTTCTACAAATGAAGCCTTAGCAGTGCCGGTGACGGCAGTTCGTTAACGGTGGAAAATCACCCAGGCTGGTTGGACAACCTATAATCAGGCACTTGCTGATTACAGCCTGCCTCAGGACTCCTTGCTGAATGAGGCTATCGCGTCTCTGCAAGGGGCCATGCTTGAGGCGGGCTCACGTTCATTCTGTCTCTCTGGGAGGTTCTCCCGTTCACGGCCCCAGGTTCCATGGTGGAATGATGAGTGCCTCCGAGCAGTGAAGGTGCGTTGGACAGCGTGGGCACAGTTGCGGCGCCAACCCTCTTGGACTCGGCAGTTGGCTTACCAAAGGGCAGGCGCTCTTTTTTGGCGAACCCTCCTCCAGGCGAAACATGCATCCTGGGCTTTATTCTGTTCTTCTCTTTCTTTTCGTACCTCTGCCAGCCAGGCATGGGGTTTCTTCCACTCCATGTTGGGATCACATTCCGTAAGTACTTTTCCCTTGTTGGGGGAAGGAGCGACTCCACTCTTACCCCAGGACAAGGCTGAGACATTTGCAAATTTCTTCGGTCTTATGTTTTCTCCTCCTCTACCCTCTTTCTCCTCCTCCTCCTCTACCCTCTAAGATGATCAAATGGGGCCCTTTGCCACCTGCTGTACCCGAGGTTCACTGCCAGGTGTTGGCATCTCCCTTTAGCTCCCATGAACTGCAGCGGGCACTTTCCCAACTTTCTTCCTGTTCTTCTCCGGGGGAGGACAACTTACCCTATTCATTTATACTACATCTACCTCCCTCCTGTACAGAAGCTATGCTGGAGGTTTTCAATACCATCTGGTATACAGGTGTCTTTCCTGATATGTGGAAACACACTCTTCTGGTTCTGATTCTAAAGCCGGGCAAGGATGATACCCAACCGAGCTCTTACCGGCCCATTGCTCTATTGCCCTGCTTGGGTAAGGTGCTGGAACGACTGGTGGCTACTCGTCTCTCTTGGTGGATTGAGGAACATGGCCTCCTGCCTGAAAACCAGAGTGGCTTCCGAGAAGGTCGATCCACCCTCGACCTTTTGCTTCAATTTACACAGCTTGTGCATACTTCATTTGAATGTTGGGAGTTCTTTTTAGCTGCATTTTTGGACCTACGCAGAGCATTTGACTCTGCATCACACACAGCAATTGTTTTTAAGTTGGCCCGCATGGGGTTGACAGGAGCTCCCCTCTGCTGGATGTGCAACTTTTTGCAAGGGAGGACCTTTCGTGTAGCAGTGGGTGGCGCTTTGTCCTCACCCTGTCCTGTATACCGGGGAGTGCCCCAGGGATCTGTTCTTAGCCTACTCCTTTTCTCCGTCTTAATGTCGGATCTCCCTTCCATCCAGGGAGTGCATACCCTGGTATATGCGGATGATGTGGCCCTCATGTGCAGTGCCCCAGCTTTACTGACAGCACAGGAAACACTTCAGGGTGCCCTGCAGTGCATAACATCATGGGCCACCACCTGGGGTTTGGAGGTTAGTGACACTAAGTCCAAGCTCTTATGCTTTACTAGATGCAGACTCCCCACTCTTCCATCAGTCTCATTGAATCAGATGCCAATCCCTTTGGTCTCTTCTCATTGTTGGTTGGGAGTCACCTTAGATGTACCATTCTTGACATGGAAGAAACACGTAGCTGCCCTCCACCTCTCGTGTGCACGTCGCATTACACTTATGTGCCGGATCTCTGGCACCAAGTGGGGGGGCAGATCAAGACCTTCTCCATAAGTTCTATATAGCTATGGTTCACAGCAAGCTCACTTATGTGAGTGAGGTGTATGGCTCAGCTTCTTCCTCCTGTCTCCATCACTTAGACATTCTCCAGAATTCAGCCATTTGTAATATGCTGGGGGCATTCCCTTCCACCCCTATCGCAGCCTTGGAGGCAGAGCCGGGGATAGTCCCTCTCTCGTCGGTGAGGACAGCGAGGAACTGTTTACGACTCCATCATATGGCCTCTCTGCCTTGTACTCACCTCTGTCGCCTCTCTTCACAGATGTGGGAGACAGCCTCTGTCCCCCCACGTTTGGTTCAGCCTTCCTTTGTAGCTAGGGCCCAGCGTTCTTTGACCTGCCTTACTCTTCCTGCACTTGTGGTGACTCCCTCCCCTCTCCACTCTCCGGCACCCCCCTGGCTGGACCTGACACAATACATCCACCTGGATTGGCATTACAGGAACAGGGAACCCCCCTCAGTTAGTTGCATTTCTGTTTGAAGAGTTTCGCTCTGTTACATATGGCTCTTCATTCTCCGTCTACACGGATGGCTCGGCACGGTCCTCACCCCCTTCTACATCATCTGCAGCCTTTTTCGCTAATCTCTCCCTGTGTCAAACGTGGCGGTTGGTCCCTGCTCATTCTGTTCTGGCAGGGGAGCTCTTCGCCATTCACCAGGCTCTGGCTTTTGTCCTAGATCACATTCCCCCACAACCACTGGTCCTCTTCTCTGATTCCCAATCTTCCCTGGAGCTTTTGTGCTCTGCCCGTCCAAGATCACTGCGCGTCCTCGTTCGTCAGACACAATCTCTCCTCCTGCGCTTCTTGCAGAGCCCAGGTTGGAGCATCTCCCTTCAGTGGGTTCCCGCCCATGTTGGAATCTGGGGAAATGAAGTGGCAGATCGGGCGGCCTCCCTCGCGCACACATTTCCTACTGTTACCCCTCTTGCCCTGGGCCATAGTGATTTCACAAGGACTGTCTGGAAGGGAATCCGTCATCAGTTGCAAGAGGGCCTTGCACACTCCCTCTCTTCTTCGGCGTTGGGCTCTGTCCGAACTTTTAATGGCCCCTGCCCTTGGGCTCGCCATCCCAACTGCTCGGTGGAGTTCTAGTGAAATAGTTATGATTTTTGTCGACTAGTACACTGGAATTGGCCAAAAATAGGGCTCAAAGTGGGCAAAATCGCAGATGCGTAAACATCGTCGAGACTGCTAAATTTGCGAGAGCATAATTCCATAAGTTTTCCATCAAATTTCATACTCTTGGTGTCGTTATGATTGGGAAAAGATTCTCTATCTTTTCATAAGAATTTTTTTTTTTTTTTTTTTGAAATTTGGGGGACCCTGAGAACAAGTCTCGGAGAAGGCCTGTGGACCCTGAAAGGGTTAATTGATCAACCACCAGACTTGGACAAACTCCCAATAAAACATAATTAGCCCTCTGAATTGATGGTCTACCAGACATACTAAGAATAAACTAAAGTATAATACAGTATTACAGTGGACCTCCGGATTTCGTCCAGTGCGGAAATCGTACAATTCGGATTTCGACCACTTTTTTTGGTGAAATTTTGCTGCAGGTTTCGTACATCCGCTCAGAAATCATCCGTATCAGACGCGTCTGCCTGGGCCACTCATACATTCGTGACTCACTCTTGGGCACATTAAATGTCTTATTTTATGTTAATATAGACATTTTCATTAATCCATCTTATGATATTTTCTTCAAAATTATATAAAAAACATGTTACATAGCATATACACACATGCCTTTATTACTTGTTGACTTAGAGTGTCCCTCTAGTCTTAATGCCATGGTGATAATGCTAATACATAATAATAATCACTCTTGGGCACATTAAATGTCTTATTTTACGTTAACCCTTTCAAGGTTCAGAGGCCAAATCTCAGAGTGACAGCCAGATTCAAGAATTTAAAAAAAAAAAATTTTAATTTTTCTTATGAAATGGTAGAGAATCTTTTTCTGATGGTAATAAAGCAAAAAGTAAAAAGTTTGATGGAAAATTGACGAAATTACACTCTCGAATTTTGATGCATCAGTGATATTTACGCATCAGCAATTTTGCCGAATGCGACTCCCATTTTAGGTCAATTACTTTATTCCAGTCAACCAGATTTTTAGCTATTTCGCTATTATTACTTCCATTTTATCAATTGAGCACAAGAAATTGCCCAGTCAACTGTTTCGACTACCCAATAAAGTGGTCAGAAATTGGTAATTTGGCCAGTTTAACACAAAGTTCAAAATATTCCAATTTCAAAATAGGGTCCAGAATAAACAATGCAAGCATTCCTGGCACTAAAATACCATTTCCTCCACCACTGCCTCAGCCACTGCCTCTCCCACTGCCTCAACCACTGCCTCAACCTCTGCCTCAACTGCTGCCTTTGCTTCTGCCTCAACCATTGCCTCTATGACTGCCTCAACCACTGCCTTAACCACTGCCTCTACCACTGCCTCCACCACTGCCTCCACTACTGCAAACATACTCAATCTACAAGCACCAAACACAGTGAATTATTGTGAAATGTTTGGAAGAGCATGGAGGCTAATGTTCACCCCAGCATAAAAAAAGCCAAACTGACTCACGATGTCTCTCACCACTGCTTCAACCCTTGTACAGTGGACCTCCGGTTATCGGCTGGTTTGGTTATTGGCCAACTTGATTATCGGCAGAGTTTTTTGGCGCCCGGTTATAGGCCATTCGCTCAGTTATCGGCTGTTTTGGATGCGTCCATCCTCTGGCTGGGGCAGCTTGCACTTCAGTTTGACTTTGTCTCTCAGTGGTTGAGGAAGCTTCTGCTCATACATCCAAACATTTTGCTTGTTTACCATTGTTTTTAGTCTTTTTTCTTGCAGTGCAACTGTCAAATAAGTAACCATGGCTCCAAAGAAAGTTCCTAGTAAAGTTCCTGTGGTAAAGAAAGTGAGAAACACCATGGAATTTAAGCGTGAAGTGGTAGAAAAGTTTGAGAGTGGTATGAAGGTGGTGGAACTTGCCAGGATGTACAGCAAGAATAAATCAACAGTTACATCCATCCTGGCAAAGAAAGAACAAATCAAAGAAGCTAATGTTGCAAAAGGAGTAACTTTTCTAACTAAACAAAGGCCACCAATAATGGAAGAGAGGGAAAAGTTATTATTATTGTGGATTAAGGAAAAAGAATTAGTGGGAGACAGTGCTGTAGAGTTGATTATTTGTGGGAAGGCAAAGCAGTTGCATGAGGATCTTGCAAAGAAAATGCCTAGAACAAGTGCTTCAGTTTGTGAATTTGGGGCCAGCAAAGGATGGTTTGATAGATTTAACCCTTAAACGGTCCAAACGTATATATACGTTCACGCGCGTAGCGCCCCAAACGTATATATACGTTTTATTTTTCATTCATTCAAAATTAACGCGATAGGCCTGAATCGCCTAGACATGAGAGAATGGGTGTGCGCACTCAGTGTGTGCAGTATACAAAAAATCTGGGACGCCTGGGTACCACATGGTAGGACCAGTTACATTCAGCTCCATCCTGGGTCAACATCATGGCACATCCTCGTGATTCACTCACGCCTCGTCGTATTAACACTCTACTTTCGAGGAAAGTGATAGAGATCGTGAGTTTAGTAGATTTGACACCAATGGGGCCAGTAATATTCAAGGAATTAGTGAAAATATCGATGATAACCCAGATGACCCCCAGCCCATCACCTCTGGGGTAGCGACACCTGTCCTAGGGCCAAGCACCTCTGGGGTAGCCAGTGTGGCCACATCAGACCCTAGGCCAAGCACTTCTGGGGTGGCCAGTGTGGCCACAGAAGACCCTGGGCCAAGCACCTCTGGAGTGGCAAGTGTTACCCATAGGCAACTTCGCAAGAGGAAACTATCATTTTCCCGGTGTTTTATTGAGAGTGAAAGTGATGTAAGTGACGATGAGATTGATTTATGCCAATTGAGGATTCATCTAGTGATAGTGACATTCATTATTCACCAGTGAAACGTACTTTAGGCGTAGTTATCTACGTTCAGGCAGCGTGCCATATGCAATCCCCAAGGGTCGTGGCAGGTTACGATCCAAAACCCCGGCCACTGATAGTGAAAGTGATCACGAAGGGGAGTATGCGGGGATGGAGGAAGTAGTGGTGGGTGGCATGGTGCCTGGACCACATGGCGCAGTGGGTGGACAGACAAAGGACCGCCCGGCACCCCCTCAACCATGTGCTGCCTCCACTCCTCTCCCTCCTCCTCCTGCCCCCCCTCGCCCCATGCCACAGGTCCACCCTGCACCATGTGATCATGAGTGGAACTGGACACAAAGTATATTCGTGCCACAGCCTTGTGATTTTGATGCTAGTGGAAGTGGTATCCAGCCAGAACGTCCCATAACGAATGAGTCTACCGAGTTAGACTATTTCCAGTTGTACTTTGACGAGCCTATAATGAACTTGATAATGACTCAGACAAACATTTATTACCAATATGTCATGAACAACACAGCAGAGGTTGGGGAATCTTCACGGTTGCACAGGTGGAAAGACACAACAGTGGCTGAATTGTATTTATTCCTTGCCACTGTCATGCTTATGCCACATATCTATACGAACAATATACGTAATTACTGGTCTACAGACCACTTCATCAGTACTCCAGTTTTCCGTGACCTCCTTCCCTGCAACAGATTCACTCTGTTGCTACGAATGTTGCACTTCGCAGACAGAAATACACAAGACAGAAATGACCTATACAAAATCCGGGAAGTGTTTATGTATTTGAAGCAGAAATTCAGTGTATACTTTTATCCCTTCAAGAACATTGTTGTTGATGAGTCCTTGATTCTGTTCAAGGGACGCCTGTCATTCAAGCAATATATACCGAGCAAACGTAATCGCTTTGGTATAAAACTTTTTGTTACGTGTGACTGTGAGAGTAGTCTTGTGTTGGATGTAATTGTATACACAGGGAAAAACACACTCGATGATGACAGTAGGATGTTGGGCACTTCCGG